TCCCAGGCTGAGGCTTTATCCCTACGAACTGAGGGATAAAGGTGTAACCTTTCGGAAATTGTCCGCATGGGCTGTAATAATAATAATAATATTTAATTTAGTTTATTTGAATATTAATAAGTCACGTTATTCGTATTAATCTTTCCTTTTAAGGAAAGATTGACTCAGGATTTCCTCATATAGGTATAAATCACATGGAACCGGTTCGCGGTTCTGTGTTCAGAACCGGTTCCCTAGTGGAACCGCCCCATCCCTAATATCGAGAGAATTTTATTATAAGTATAAGTGACATATATGGATTTTTAAAAAATGTCCGCTAAATCGAATATATTAATATTAATATATGAAAATCCGTTAAATCCGTTAAATCGAGATAAAAATAATTATTATTATCCGTTAAACCCCTAAATCCGCTAAATCGAGGTCCGTTAAATCGAGACTCGCTGTATATTTTGACTTTAGACAACCCCAAAAACAATTTAGACGCCCATCTATAGTGCTGTTATAATTTCACGCCTGTTAAGTTTAGCTTATTCCATAACAACTCTGGATTTCATTCAGGTTTTTAAATTTGACTCTCTGAAATTTTTGTCACATGGTGAACAACAAATATGAATGAATTCTTTTCACATATGACGATTATGATTATTAACTCATAATCATCACCATGATAGTTGTTCTATAATTTGAAATGAATAAGCGTGAATAAAAATATTTTAAAAAAGGAGTTAATGAATTAAAAAAAGGGATGGCAAGTGCGGGTGTAAAAATAATGTCAATAATGTAGCGCACAAAAGTTTCTCGTGAAAATTTCGGAAAATATTTGTCGGAAAATACAGGCAAATTTAAAGAGTGCTGATAAATTTATGGGTGTAACCAATTCAGATTTCTACAAATTTAGAAAAAAAATTCCCCACACTGAATTTTATACACTGGCCGAGGAAAATAAAGGAAAAAAGTAAGATTATACACAACATACAATTAATTAATCATGATAAATTTCTTCCCATGATTTTTAATTTAATTGTTATTTATATTGTTTTTATTTGATTAAATTACATTAAAAAAAAAATCAAGTCATATAATACTAATTTCGTATATTAAATATTGAATTAAAAAAAGAATTTAACTTAGAATTACTTAAGTAGGTTATTATTATTGGTTTTAAGAAAATTTTCAAGCTTACTGATTTAAATCTAATTCAGAAGGGTTATTCGTTAAGATCAGGGTTAAGATTATTATTACTATTACCATTATTGTTAGCAGTACTTTCTGACATGTAATTATTTAACGAATTAAAATGAGGCAAAGAAGGAATATTGTTGTTGTTATTAGTTAAAGATCTGAAAGATTTAATTGAATTTTCATCATCTTTATTTAATAATAAATTTGTTGAAGAAAGATAATTTATATTATTATTATTATTATTATTATTATTATGAAAATATGATTCATTTGTGGAAATAATGCTTTTTATTTTATTATTATTATTAATATGGTTGTTGTCGCTTGTTTGATTTAAACGTAAAGGAATCTTGTGTTCAAATGGTGCTCTAATTGTGGTTGTTGAATTAATAATAGAGGCGGAAGAAACGGAAGTAGAGGGAGGAGGTTTGGGATATTTTAAATTGTAATATTTACTTGCATCTCTGGCAAGTTGCTCATAATGATTAACAACAGAATCTGGTTCTTCTCTCCAAGAATTTGCTACAGAAGGAGATATGCTTCTCATTGGTAGACGATGATTTCTTGCGTGTAATTCTTTAACATATTGCATACGATAAATCATAAAAGCATTCGGTGGTTTTGACGGAACTTTTGTTTTTCCTTTTCTTGGTCTTGAGATTAATTCTTTTAGATTGATTATTGGCGGAAATGGTACTTTTATATTAGGTAACTGAATATTATGAAGATTTTGATAACTTGGATGATTTTGATGATGATAATTTGTTGATGATGATGAAGGTGAGGAAGAAGTCGATGTTGTTGTTGGATTATTTAATCGATGATTTTGTAAAGATGAATTATTATTATTATTATTAGGAAGAGAAGGTGTGGGAGAACTATTAAGAGAAAGAGGATTGCGAAGAAGAAGATGATTATTATGAAGAAGAAGATGATTATTAATATTATTATTACTATTATTACTATTATTATTACTAACTAATGAAGCTGGTTCATTTATAATTGACCATTGATGATGATATTGACTATGATGGTGTTGATGTTGAAGTTGGTGATGATTATGTTGATGATAATTATTATCACGATTGTTAATATTACTAATATTACTAATATTACTATTATTGTTATTATTATTGTTGTTATTATTATTATTATTATATTGACTATGTTGTAATGGTGAATTTAAAGGATGATGGATCGGTTGATATAATGAATATGGTTGTAAAGGTTGTAAAGATTGAGACGATTGCATGGGTTGAAGAGGCGATTGATGAGATTGAGATGGATGCAAAGTTTGTTGTAATGGTTGCAACAAAGGAGAAGCTTGATTAGATTCGGCCAACCGATTATTTATCATCATTTCTTTCTTCTTCTTTATTTTAATTATTATTGAAGGATAAGATTCTTTAATGTAATAAGAAGAGGAAAAATGATTTTTTATTTTAGTAGTAATGATGTGTTATTATAATTGTTCAAAATTGTAATTAATAATGACATCAATAATAACACATTCTCTTCGGTTTTTATTGATTCGCTAACTGATTGATTTTTTTAGTTGATTAAAAAAGAATAAATTTTCAAAATAAAGTAAAAGAAAATAAATTTTTTTTTGATTTTTTTGAATTTAGAAAATGTCAATATTTTATACACTTTATATCGTTATTTCCTAGTACTTATTAAATCAATTATATACACACGCATGTATATATTAGTTTACGTATATAGTATATATAATTTATAAATCAAATATATAATGAAAAAAAACTGTGGAGATTAGTATTATTATTAAATAACACGGAGAATTAATTCAAAAAAAAATTAAGAATATATTTTTTTCAATTGTTTCTATAATTGCTCATGATTTCTTTATTATTAAATGAGTGAATGAATGGAATGAACGAGTAAACGAATGAATGAATGAATAATAAATAAATGAAGGAAAGATTATTAATTTTAGAAAATTTAGAAATCTTCTTCGATCGAACTGAATTAAAAAAAAAACATCAAGTAAATTTTATTTTTGTTTTACGATTTTACATTATTATTTATTTGTTTATTACCTCTGTTATTACATTGTTACCGGAATAATGATTTCTTCTCTAAAGAAACTTGTAATTTATCTAGACACGTGTCATAACATATGATATTTTAAATGAATGTGCGGCCGCAACTATTTACTTTGATTGGATAAATAAAGGTTGGAAAAATTACTCGCAAAAATGATAAAGTAATAAATAAGACAAAACTATGAATAATCCAACCACATGTATTAATTAATTATAATGAATCAAAAATGAATTAATCAATTTAAAAATGAATGAGTGAATGAATCAATGAACAAATGAATGAATCAATCAATCAATCAATCAATCAATCAATCAATCAATCAATCAATCAATCAAACATAGTCGATGAATTAATTAATTTCAAGGAACATGATCAATTATCATTATTTTATGATTTTAGACGTTGTGGCTTGAAATCCTTTCTTGTTTATAATTTATCAGCTGTCGATTGAACTTTTGATGCAGACGAAGTACGATCCACAATTCCTTTTTTTAAGATAGTTTCGTAACCTTGACGTCCTCCAGCTTCTTCTATTATCGTTAATATTAAAATCATATTATTGCAAAATGTAAAAAGAAACATTATTATGTGCGTACTTTAATTCGTTTTCCAATTTACAGGTGCTCTGAAGCTACAAGTGTTTTTTACTCTGTTTATGACATGTATGTATTTGTTGCTAGGCTATTTATTTCTGCTGTGTTTGTTGCATGCTCTGATGAGAATTTTCAATTCTGATAAATATGTGAATTCTCTATCGGCTGGAATTCCTTCATGAGCAAAGTGATTGTTTATTTATTATTATTTTGAATCTATGTGAATGGATTTATGAAATTTTTTTATTATATACGTATATAAGCTTTTAACCAAATTTAGAGCAACATTTTTCCTATTAATAATCATTTTTATCATTATGATCACACTTTCTTGAAAAAGATTATGATAAAAATAGCCAAAATCAAGAAGAAGAGGGAAGATACCTTGTCCGATCATTTTCTTGATTACTATTATTATCTACTCGACTACTATCTTGCTTGCTTATACTATTGTTATTTACTAAGATCATTATAATCTTGTTTATCGTCATTTCCTAGATAAGAATAATAATCTTTATGATCATTTTCTTGATTATTATATCTGACGATTGCTGCACAATCCAATCGTCCTCCTTGTCATCAATATCATCTTCTATTTCTCTCCTTCTATTATGAATTTACTTTTTTTTTTTCAATCACCATCATGATCAATTTCTTGTTTATTATTATCATAATCCCGAGCTTTTTTACCATTTTCACTGGAGCCTTCTACTGTGGTTTTACTACAAGATTTGGATAAATCTTGCATGGACACATATGGAGCATGGACAATAGAAAGATTTCAACGTCAAAAGTCGTGATACCACATATATACATAACTTGTCTCTAGAAACGATTTTAGCTTAGAAATTATGCCCACTTGATAAAATTTTGAGTTAAAGATTTTTTAAAAAAATAGTAAACAAAACATTGACAATAGAAACAAAGATAATTACAAAGATCACGATTTTGAGTTAGCAACATTGCTATATGCAATTCATCTCAAAAATTAATTTTAATGAAATATTTTCCGTTAAAGGGTTAGAAATGCAGATCTTGACGTTGACCCCTCCCCCTTTCTATTCTCCGTGCCATATTTGATTCACTACATGGCTTTATTTTATTATTACTATTACGTTTAAACCAGTTTGGCGATAATCTTTTAGATTGTACTTAAATGTCACGCTAGTGTAACATAAAAGATATTGTTTGGTCGGTTAATTGAGTGTTCTTTTTTCCTCTAAAGATGGATAACAAAATGTCTGGAACGGTGATATTTAAAACATCAATGGTATATGCATTTGATCATTTAATATAAATAAAGGAATCCTCAAAAGTTCTTACCATATGCATTAAATTGATAATATATAGTAATATATAATATTTGATGATTAGGGAACAATAACTTTTGAATTATACTGGGATCATTCACCAAAAACTTGTAAAAACTTTTATGATTTGGTAATATATTTTTTAATATACACATATCTATCGGCAAAAATTTTTTGATAAATTAAATTTTAAAATGATTCTTTTTCTTTCTTTAATTCATTATTTAGACAAAACGTGGATATTATAATGGTGTTATAGTTGAGTAAAAAAGTTTTAGCATTTAATTGATTAATGGATGATTTTTTTAGTGATTGATTTTTCCTATAATTTCTTACTTTTAGTTCCATAGAATAATTCCGGTACGTGTATGAGTGATTCAGTGTAGGGAAAAAAGCTTTCTTTCTTTTGCAATTAGGAACAAATATCAATAATAAAAAATATTTATTAATTTATTAAGGATTTCATGATACAAGGGGGTGATCCCACAGGAACTGGACGTGGAGGTTCGTCAATATATGGGTGGGTGGTAATTAAATACTTAATCAATCAATCGATTGATTTTTATATAATGAATTCTAACATATTATATATATTAAGAGAAACATTTGAAGATGAAATTCATCCTGAATTAAAACACACGGGAGCTGGTATTCTTAGTATGGCAAATGCAGGTCCAAACACAAATGGAAGTCAAGTAATAAGTTTATATTTATATATGTAATATTTAAACAAAAAATTTACAAATACTTATTTGCTATTGTTACTTTTTTTAAAAAAGTTTTTTATAACGTTAGCACCAACTCCATGGTTAGATGGTAAACATACAATTTTCGGACGAGTAAGTGACGGTATGAGAGTTGTAAAACGTATGGGTCTTGTTCCTACTGACTCAGATGATCGGTATGTTTTTTATTTGTTTGTTTTCTTGAAAATTTTAATTTTCATTAAAATAGTTTTTTAATTTTTTCTTAGTCCAAAAGATGATGTAAAAATTCTATCTGCACATGTTATTTAATAGATTTTTTTGATTGCAATATAAAAAACTATTATGACATATGAAGCCTTAATTCGTTGTAACTCTTCCCATAATAAGAAATCATTGGATCATTAATGATGTTACCTGCATTTTGATGTCATGCTGTAACGCAAGCATTTTCTAGCCAAGATAGAAATATATTTATCTCCTGAGTGGTTTTCCCCTATTCAATCTCTATTTATTATTTCTCTATATATATATTCATAAACAAAATAATAATAATAAGTCATAAATTTTAAAATGGTCAATTCCCCTTTACCGACAGATCTTGCAGGTTCAATATCATTATCATTAGTGTATATATATATAGATGCACCCACATCTAAATCAATTGTCTAATTACAATGTTTTTCAAATTTGGTTAATTAGGTGAATGCAAAAAAGCTTCTAAAATCTTGAATAGCTTTATTGGTATGTGTAAATAATAGGTTCAATACTACTTTAAAAAAAAAATTTTTCTAACATTTTTATATTTTATTGTTATTTCATTAGATCCAGTTGCAGCAAAAGTAAGTCAACTTTTATAAAAGAAAATTAATTAATTTATTGAAAAAAATAATAATCTTATAAAAAAATTTATTTGGAAAAAGGGACCAGACAAAGTTATACCACCAAATATTTTACAAAGAGCAAAAGGGTTTGCAATATTTACAGTAATCAAAGCTGGATTTTTATTTTCAGGAAGATGTGGATCTGGACTAGTTGTAGCAAGGTATTAATATATTATGAATAGAATATTATTTTTTTTTAATTATATAGTATTTATTTTATAAATATTTTTATAATGTATTATTAGGCTTGAAAATGGATGTAAGTAATTTATGATCTGTGATTTATCATCTATTTATCTATATACATTTTTTATTGACTTCATTTTTGATTGATCAGCATGGTCTGCTCCCTCTGCAATTAATATTGGTGGAATGGTGAGTTTATTAATTACATTATAAATTATTGTAATCAAATGACAATTAAGGTTAAGTACAAGTAAATAAATATCATTTATTCATGCTAATCTATTTATATTTATAATTACGTTTAGGGAGTTGGTGGACAAATTGGTGCTGAACTTACAGATTTTGTTATAGTCTTAAATAGTAAGGACGCAGTTAAATCTTTTATGAATGGTGGAAACGTCACTTTAGGAGGAAATTTGTAAGTAATTTATTACTGTTTCAGTTATCTTAAAAAAAATTTCAATTGTTAAATCCTTTTTTCTGAATTTTCAATTAGATCTGGTACGTATTGTGTGTTTTATATATATATATATATATATATATATATATATATAAATAAATAAATCAATATTTACTAATATTTTGGTTCTAAATTATTGAAATAAAAAAGTTGCTGCCGGACCTGTTGGAAGGACAGCTGAAGGAGCAAGTTCAGTTTCGCTTGGAAATGTTGCAGCTATATTTTCTTATAGGTAAGTGGCAACTGGTCATTTCAGTTAATTTTGTATAGTTATTTATAATAATGTGTATATATATATGTATATAATATATACACGTAATTAATTAAATAGCAAAACAAAAGGATTATTTGCTGGTATTTGTTTATTTTTTTTGTTTATGAAAAAAAATTATTATTTGAAAATTATTTTAAAGTCATCAATAATAATAACAATAATAATAATTTGTCATATGTGCAGGTGTATCAATTGAAGGTTCAATAATTGTGGAACGTAAAGATACAAATTCAAAATTCTATCATTCTAAAGTATCAGCAAAAGAACTTCTATCAGGAAAAATCCCGCCGCCACCCCAAGCTGACATTTTATATCGAGCACTTAATGCAAAAGCTTCACGTAGTAACAGTTATGGTGAGACACAATATAACGATGAACCAGTTTATGGAGAAGAATATGAGTCTCCAAAATTAAGTCGATCAGTTTCTTTATCAACATCTGCTTCAAAAAATAACTCTTATCAAAATCGATACAGCGGTTCGACATCATCAACATACAAAGATAGACTTGATAATAATAAAGATGACAGCAACGACGATGGCGATGATAATAATAGCATTTCATCATCATCAATTAAGAATAAGTCAAGTTATTCCGAATCAAATGCAAAAGATGTCCAACGTGCATTGTCTTTGTCAAATGAGTTTAATAATCGTATTAGTAGCAATAGTTTAAATAGAAAATCATCATCTAAACCGCCACCAATAGCTCCTAAACCTAATATTCCACCGCGTAAAAAACAACCAACAGCTGTTGCCTTATATGACTTTGATGGAGAACAAGATGGTGATTTAACCTTCAGCAAAGGTGATGTTATTACTATTACAAAACAATCAGAAAGTACTAATGATTGGTGGACTGGTAAATGTAAAGGAAAAGAAGGAATTGTAAGTGTTTTTATTATTAAACCGGAATTTATTTCTTTGAAAATAATATTTTAATATTTATTTTATTTTTATTTTTATTTTATAAAAAGTTCCCAGCAAACTATGTTGAATTAAATTAAATACGGTTAAGTTTAAACTCTAGTGGTGTGTGAACTGAGACGAATCTTGGATGAAAAAGAAGAAAATATAATTTTAAAAAATTTTTCTCTGTAAATTATTTTATTGCTGATTCATTCATTTTCTATAAAATTATATTATTATCATCATCATCATTTACATTTACATTAATATTTTTATTAAAATAAAAAAATTTAATATTGTATATTTCATTACGAAAAAAATATACGTGTGATTGATGATGAGAATCATAGGTTTATATTGGATTCTTCCTTATTTAATTGCGCAATATAAATACATTATTGTTATTCGCACTAGGGATGAGAACGGTTTAACCCAAACCGGTTCAAACCGCGGTTAAACCCCAGATTTGAAACTGAGCTGGTTACACGTTACATTTCAAAAATTGGACACATTCGTTTTATATCGTTTTATTTGTTTTATATTTACAAAATATTGGATATAAAATATTAATTCACATCTTGATGCAACAAATTCTATATTATTGTTATTGTTATTGTTAAGGGATTTAACTATAACAAGATAATTAATTACATTTATAATTTACTATGGTTACTAGTACTATGACTTAAGAAAAGAAAAGAAAGATGTCAGCTATTACTATTTACTATTATTATCATTATATACAAGGGCTAAAGAAGGAAAAATAGATTGATAAATTGAATTGGATTTACCGATTTTATTCAAATTACATATTAGTTTATTTAAAAATCTTACTAACTTATGCTGTGTTCCTAAATTTTGAATTGGACCTGATAATAAAATTTAATCATGTTTATTTTTTTATTGTTCATAAAAGAAAAAAGAAAATTATGATAACAGATATTTCAATCACAATTAATTGAATTATGGTGCTACAACTTGATATAGAGATCAGGCTGAACTCCAGCTATTGATGCAAACAATTTAAAGTACAAGCAAATATGAAGAGAATTGGTAGTGGTGGTGTTTAAAATAGCTTTCATTGTCGGAACAAATAATTTGTTTTTTAAAAAAAAATTTTTCATTTTACCAATAAAATTATAAAACTGCGGTTAAACTTGAGTTTGAACCGCGGTGGTAAACCGCCGGTCGGTGCGGTTCACTAGCCAAACTGGCGGTTTATAAACCGAACCGAACCGTTTATAGATGCTGGTCGCAATTCTTGGCGATGGTTGCAACCATATTTGTGACATATAAAAATGGTTTGCGACACCTGGTTGCAACCACCTTTGCAACCACTTTGGTTTCCTTTTTTGGATTGCGACATGGAACACTAGAACCGTTCACATCCCTACCCAAGGAAGATGTGAATGATTGTAAGGTTTTAATATTCGAGCCCTGGATATTGTAATAAAATGTTGCATATCGGTTGAATCGTTTTTTAATGTTCCCAGATTGTCCAAGAGCAGTTTCCCGTGTGTGCGTGATATCTTCTTCGATGGTTATGTTGTTTTGAAATTTCTTATAATCATTTTTAATGTTAATAATGTTCACACGAAACAATATACCAGTCGCTTGTTTATTATCACATCTATCATTATATAATGTAAAAGTCACGCTCTCACTTCACTATTTTATAAAAAAAAAAAAAGGTATTAATACAGGAAAAGAAATCTCTGACTATTACATATATCAACAAATAACATACCTTTTTCCTCAGAATCATGCCAAATAACGCCTCCATGATTACTAACGAATACCTCTTGATCTCGAATTCCAAAAAAATTAGAGGTTTCTTTGTACAATGCTGTGCATGAAAATCAAATTTGTGTATTATTGGGTGTTTGGATACAAAATTCTGATTGGCTAATTTGAATTCTTAACGAATAAAATGAAAAAAAGAAACAAAAAGGTGAAATCTAAAACTTATTTTAAAAGAGCTTTTTTGATATAATAACGTTTTAAAATATGTGTCAATTCATCGTTATGCATTTTATGGTCATTTTTTACTTTCTTCGTGAATTTGACGTAATTGTTTACAACTCTGATAAACATTTCATCAAAACTTTTGACTAAAGTAAAAAATATGACTAAATAAAGTAAAGAAAGCCTTGATGACATTAAAATATTATCATTTTAGTAAAAAAAACTCGATGATTTAATTTGTAAAAAAGAGCAAGTATGCCATGCTTAATGACTTAAGTGCACATGGACATTTAATAACAATTAGCGTGTATGCGAACTATCACCTACATACATGAATCATATGAATTATGAAAATTATTGTTAGTTTTATATTACAACCTTTGTAGGGGAAAAAACAATAAAATTAGGCTGGTTTATACGAGAGAGATTTTTGCGTGCACTTCTATCGTGATTTTACAATTCATGTTTTCAAACTACATATTTCAGGGTCGTTTATTAGTTTATGATGGTCAACATCCAATGCAGTTGAATGTTGAAAGAAACGACTCATTTTATTTATTTGTAAAATTTACACATTCAGGCATCAAATTATGGCCACCGCTCTGTTCTCTGATCGAAAGGACATAAAATCTGACAAATCCTTTGTCCCAAATCCCAAATATACTTACTATGAGGGAGAAAAAGTCGATCCGTATATATACTTCTTATGAAGTAAATTACACAAACTAAATGAATATTTCTAATCAAGCCTATTTACATTCCCGTTACGAATTAATTTAAATCGTTACTATTGTTCATCATTCCAATTTCTACAACTCGTTCTTCTGTTAAATTGTCAATATTATTACCATAAATATAAAATATCAACCCACGAAACCGAAAAATCATCAACCTTACTTTCTGAATTAGTGCCAATACTGCTCAACCAAAGAAATTTTCTTAGATAATAAGCATTATTGGTATCTTCGATTTTTCTTTGATTTGGTTTTGTTGCTATTGGCTCGATAAAAGGAAATCTATATATATATACATTAATCATATGTAGTAGGTATGTAGTACAATTGTGTGATGTTGAATAATTTTGAACCCTGAAATTCTTTCTTATTATGTGTAATTCCATTATAACAAGGTCTGTTATAACGAGGTTTGATTTTTTTTGCACAAAAAGTAGAGTTTATTTATTATTATGCTTCAAATTTGATGGGGATAGCTGCACGAAAAACGAGTAATTGGGGTTGTGATGGATGTTTGAATATTAATATTTGGAAATTTCATTTCATTATAATGCTCAAAAAAAAATAAATCATGGTTTGACCCCACGCTGATTGTCAAAAATATTTCTAAATTTGATGATTTTTCACCTTATTTGATGTAACCTATTTATTACTATTACTATTATATTTTTTCCATTCATTATTTTTTTTTATTTTGTTTTCCTTGACAATTGCAGCATCCGATAAAACCTTTTTGATTCCTATTGGTTAAGCAAAAAACCAAAAAGGTATGACAATTCTTGACGTTTAAAATCAAAAATTAACTCTTACTAATTCAAAAAATTTTTTCTAGGAATTTAACACTTCAGTTCTTATTCATTTTTAAGAATAAACTGAAACTTAACTGAAACCTTTAAAAACGATAACTTTTTCATGCACTATCAATTTCACTCTTTTTTTACAAAAAAAAAAAACAAAAATATCGTCTTTAGATTTTATTTTTTCCACTCGCATATACTAAAAAACAATAAAATTAAATTTATATATTAATTAGTAATGGCTCCCTACCCTAATCATTCTATCACAAAACCAGAAATTAAAATAGGTTTAAGACTTGATGATAATTATGCTGACACTTTATTAACAAGAATCAAAAGTTTATTACGTACAACTTCATGGTAAAATTACTATAGCTATTATTATTATAAATTTCATATTTTTATGCATTAAAAGATTGTTTAACGAACAGTTAAGCTGACCTTTTCTTTTTTTCCTTCTTTCTTTTTTATTTTACAGTTTTCCAGGGACTCAACCAATAGATTTTAAAAAATGTCATTTTGATCTATTAGAATCAGAAGAATATTATGTTAGAGATAAAACTGATGGAAAACGATATATTATGTTTTTTACAGCTGTGGACGGTGGTACAGCATTTATGGTAATTATGATTTAAAATAAATTTATTATTTGATAATCTAAAAAATAAAAACCTTTTTGTGCCTTGATTATCAATCAATTAGATGGACGAATTAAATAAATTTCGAACATTGACTGGGTTCAAGCTACCATTACGTAATAACCTTAATCAGTTTCATAATGAAACCATGATGGACGGAGAGATGGTGATGGAAATTGATGATGAAAAGGTTTATTTAAATATTTTTTTTATTTGCATATTGAAATTATTTATTACGCATACATTTTTTAAAGTGTTATGTATGTATGTATATATGTATGTATGTATGTATGTGTGTATGTTGAACAGCATAATTAATTAAAGGTTACTTCTTCAATGTCTAGAAATGTCTAAGGTATTTGATATTTGATCTAATGGTGTTGAATGGGAATGTCTTAATCGATAAACCTTATAATAAGCGAATGGGCGTAAGTATTAAACAAACGTTTAGACTTTGGACTTTAAAAAATAACACTGATTAAATTTGTATATATTAGATGCTCAGACAAGATGTAATAGACCCATTGAATACCTTACTACAGAAAAATTTAGATATTAAGAGCAAAATGCCCTTCACGTGTGTATTATGTACATATTTAAAAAAATTTCTAATTATAGAGTCATCCGATTTTCATTAAATGTGATTCTACCTGCACATTTTTGACATGATTAGCATAGAAATAAAAACCATGGATTTATCCTACGGGCTTAGTAATACTTTACAAAAAATCTCAACTTTAAAATACGGTAATGAAGGTCTAATATTTGTCCCTGTAAATCATCCTTACGTACCTGGAAGAAGCGAGAAATTGTAAGTGATTTAATTACTCTTTAATTTTATTTTTAAATTATTTATTTGTTTATTTATTTTTAAATTTTGCGTGAAACAAGGTTATTATGGAGGCCAGTAAAACAGATAAGTGTAGATTTTAAAATAAAAACAATTATCCAGAATCAAAGAGATAAAAAACCAGTATTTCATATAATGATTGCGGATAAAAATCAATATAAAAAAATTGACCAATTAACGTTGGAACCTTCTATTGAAAAAGAGTAGGCATTCATTCATATTTTAAAATTATATGCTATCAATCATATTAATCAGACAACTTCTTTTAATCAG